ACCACACAGGGTGATTCTTCGTAAAAAAATCAGTCGAAAGTGTGGAGCACAATTTTTCAATGGAACCTTCAGTTTTCGAGATAATAGACTTGGAAACTTCGTGGGGGTGCACCCTGGTTGCAGCTGACGCTCCAAGCGCAAACCCACGAATTTTCAAAGTCGATTTTCCATGCGAAAGAAAGGTGGGATTGAAAAATTCTATTTCACACTTTCGTTTCATTTTTTCACGAGGAATCGAATCCCGTGTTCAGTTGGTATACCAGTGATCCTCAGTCACTCCACGGGAAGAGAGAGAAAGTTCAAGATCACGACCTCTCCAGTCACGTATCGGTGAAGGAAGAAGGAAGGTATCGAAGGGTACGATCCCGTGATCCGTGTAAAAATCACAGAGCGTTCATTAAGCGTTCCATCGCGCGGAGATTGGCTCGTTAGAGGCGCGTTCAGCCCCGGAATCCGCGGTGGGAATAATAATACACAAAGGGGGAGGCACAGAGGCGACGTGTATCGTCTTCGTAACGACGTCTCGTGGACGCACGAGCTCGAATCAACAATTTATTATCCGTGGAGCGCAGGGATCAATACCAGTGCTCTCCGTTCTCTGTACAGGCGCATTCCCACGTTGAAATTGAAATCTATTCCTTCTCTCTCTCTGTATACGTCTGTGTGTGCCCTCTCCTTTTTTTCTTCTGCTCGTCTCTCTCTCGTTCTGTCTGTCTCTCTTCTCTCGTGTACATATGGCAGGCTTCGTGTGTGTTTTCCCCTGTCCGCGTTGTAAGTCTTGATTGCCAGTCGGCTGTAAAGAACGTTCGATGCATACGCCGGCATGCAGCGATTGCAGGAGACAGCGGCAACGACCGGCTTCAAGGTAGCTAAGCCAGTCAGTCGACGGCTTATGTAAGCTGTTTGGAGGTCTGGCCGCGAGCTGTGCGTTCGCTTAGCACGAGCGAGCATCTGCGGATCGTTGCAAAGGCGTTTCTTCGTGGGATTGTGCTGTGTGGATACCGCAAAGAAAAATCCCTATGTAGATTTCACGAGGCTGTATATAGCGAACTACGTGAAATATTTTCTTCGGAGTTTCAGCTGGTCGAGGATCGAAAACTTCGCAACACTTTTATTCGGTTGCATAAATAGCTTGGATTTAGTGTTCGGATATGTTCCAAATTCTTGGACAAGAAGTTTCTCTATCCATGTTCGTCAGATTTCTTAGAAGTTCGTCAAACTTCGTAAGAGTTCGTCGAATTTTATAGAAATTCGTGAAAGTTCGTAGATGCTCTTAGATGTCCACAGATGTTCGTAGTCCATGGAAGATCGTCAGATTTGTTAGAAGTACATAGATGCTCTTAGATGTTCATAGAAGTTCGGACAGGTTCATCGAAGCATCGTAGATGCGCGTAGATGTTTGTCCAAGTTTTTCCAAGTTGAGCAAAGTTCATAGACGCTGGTAGAAATTCGTAGATGTTCGCAGACGTTCACGGAGCTCCCACGAAGCTTCGATGCACGTCGAGTGTCCCTCAAACAGATGAAGCAATCATCAGAAATCGTGTCACCTCAGATCTGAATGAGCCACGTTGAATGAGCAGCAATGTAGATTCGATCAGATCTCTTTAATAGCCGGGCACGTTGAATTGCCTGGAAGTTTACAAGCTGTACTTAAGGTCCTGGTGATCGATAGTAGGCATTAGCGAAGTTGTAGCGGAAAACACAATATGTATCCGAGGTTGTTGTAACGTTAGGAAACAAGTCGGATAAAAGTGCGTGCTCCCGATATCGATCGACGCGCACCGGCCAAACCGGAATGTCTCGTTCGCGCTGTGGCAACTTCCGTGACGAACTGAATTCGAAAGCTGAGGTGGCTGGAATGCAGCCTCCTACTCATGCAGGGAAACTGTGTCTGCGAATTTCATACACCCGGGGGAAGTGAAACTTGGTGGCAATCCGTAAAGCGATCCAAAAATATCTACCAAATCGAAACCTTTATGAAACAGATTCCTCTATTCCAGAGCGATTAATTCGTTCAGATTTATTTGTCGCTAAACGACGTACTGTACTTGCTCCTGACAATTTATCAGAGTACGAGATTGAAAAACGATAAGCACCATTATAGGCTCCTTGCAAGCTGCTGCTTCGAGAGAGGGAGTCTAGGCTATCTCTCAGTCCTCGTACAAGCTTACAACGCGTAATTAGATGCAATTATCGCGTTCCATGTATCGATCATTTACGAGGCCCTTCGCGAGATACGTTTGCCCACTTATTGCACGGCGTAGTAGATTGGATACTCGTCGAATGGATAATTTGCCAGCGACGATCGAGCCTTTCTATCGGTTGGTTGTACATTCGCGCGAATTGCAGGCGTTTGTGCGCTGCTGCTTGGCAAGAGCCAGTCGGCGAAGAGGAGTGGCGATGGGACACGCGAGAACGCACGTGTCCACCGGGTTCTTTAACCGTGTCGCGTGTTCCTCGCCCCTGTTTCATTCCGGACCAGATCCGAGAGACGACCACGACAATCTTCATTTTGCCCCTTCGCTATCTCGGTTACCAGTTGGAACTGTAAAAACTGATCAGTTTATGAATCGTATCTGTTCTCTTCTATCTAAACACTGCACTCTTCGAAATAAATTACGAAAAAGTGTGGTAATATGTATTTTTACTATTTTTTTTTTTATCACCCTCTGTCGACGTGAATTGACGCCTTTTAAGTTTTAAGCGTTGGTGACGAGAGACGTGTGAATTGACGACTGAGTAAATAAGAAAAAAAGGAGCGTTAATTTGTTGAAGATTTTTTTTATTTATTTCAAATTTTCTTATTCATTTTGCTCTTCAATTTATTAAAGATAGTGTTAATAAATCAGTACCGAATCACATACAGCTACATTTACTACTCCACCAAAAAAGGGAGATACAGCAAATTCTCTACAAGTGTCAGTCAGTTTGGATTCTACAAGTGTCAGTATAGATGGTCCTACGCTTGTTATCCTCGCTCTCGCTGTCAGTCAAGCGTGTAACGCTACACCACTCGGTTTCTTTTACGAGATTTCACGGCTCGACAATTTATAATAGAAAAATATAATTTTTTAAATTTTCCTTTTTTCATCTGAAATTTTTTTTAACATGTCGGTGAGATTTCTCTGATGAAAATGATATCAAACACGATATAATTTGAACAACATTTACTTATTAACACGTTCACTGTATGGCGTGTTCAAATTATGTCGTGTTTGATGTCATTTTCATGAGAAAAATCTCATCAAAACGTTAAGAAAAATTTCGGGATAAAAAACGTAAAATTAAAAAAGTTTGTATTTAAATCGCTTGGTTGCCTCGACTCACGTTTCATCCTTATCTTTTATTCGCTGTCCTTGTCTACGTTCGGCAAACTACAAAGGCGGGCACGAGGCACGAAAACGGTAGTCCCTGACTCTACAAGTGTCCGGTTTAGGTTCCTTGCGAACTGACACTTGTGGAGAATTTACTGTAATCACATCGCGAGGAGCGCCGTAGAATCTCGAACGCGGTGGAAATTCGCTGAAAATTTGCGTTTCAGTGGAGCTCGTTAGGGGAAGTGGGGGAATAATTGAGCGACAGGTTCGATCGAGGGCCCCCGACCGGTGTCTTCGTTTATCCTCTCGAATCGCCCGGCACAGTCGTTAGCCTCTTCGCCGCGTCTTCTCCGCGAGAACGTTCGGTCGAATGTCGTCGAACTTTCCGGTCGCACCCGGAGGACTGCGCGGCCCCGCCGCGGACATTTAAATGCAAATACACTTTTTACTTATATTTATATGCAAATAAGGGTGTTCCCGCGCGGCAGCGGATGCCTGAGAGATCGGGACGGCCTGTCTCGTCGGGAGTTGAGAAAAAGGCGACGCGATACGTCCCAATTACCTCGTCGCGTGCGCCTCGTCGCTCGCGATTAACCCTTTTGTTATCGTTGTATTAAGTTATCAAAGGAGGGGTTGCGCTGTGAAAATATTTCGCGAGGTAGCTTTGTAATTTTGAGAGTGGAGATTTATTTAGGGAACATTTTTACGTACGCTTGGGTGAGACTTTTTTTTTGACAATTTTACCGTGGAATTATTTGAGGCAGTTTTCACCGTTGAAATTATTATCAGCAAAATTGAAGTTGATAGAAAAATTGGTGGGGGTTTATAGACGTTCATGAAGGTTCATTAAGATTCGTTGAAATTCATTGAAGTTCATTGAAGTTTGTAGATGTTCGTGGGCGTTTGTAGATGTTGAATAATTTCACATCTTTCGCTTGGAGATTTTTGGAAATTTGTTTTAGAGAGGATGTGGTTGAAATTCGACGAGGGAAGGAATAACGAAATGTTGCGTTTAGCGAAGTTTGCGGATGTTGAATAATTTCGCGTTTTTCAAGCTCCGTTCGAAGATTTCCTGAAATTTATTCGAGATACGCTTTTATTGGCTGTCGGTCTGTTGTTGCACACTATTTTTCATTGCAGCCACAAATCCTTTAGCTCAATTTTTTCATAAATCATAAATCTACTTTTATTATTCCGGGAAAAAAATTAATTACATTTCAGTTTTCTAACTGTTAAAAAATATTAATACATTTCCTCTTCGTTATTCCTTTACCATAACAATTTATCGTGTACGAGTCGCTTAGAAATGAATTAAATACGTCTGTAAGGACTTTTGGTTTAAATAATATTTGTCAGGGTTATTTAAAATAATGTTGAAAACTATATTACTTCGTCTGTCGTCGACTCGTCCTTATCAACTACACGCTTACTAATTCGTTCCAATACAGTCGGGCCTTGACGCCCCTCTCTTGCCTCCGGGAAACCCTGGCACAAGTTGGGGGTGTCTACCCAGCAAAGGCACCGTCGCGCGAGCACGTGGCTGGGTCCTTACCCGACCAAGGCGTTGGGACCTCTCTCGGTCTGCGGGTCATAAACCAGCGCGAGTCCCAACGCTCCCCAACCTAGATAAGTGGACAAGAGCGGCTAAATAATTTTCAGTTTCCCGTTTGTTTGTCTGAACAGTTTATCCGCAACGCAAAACTTCCCCTCAAGCAGGGCAGTGGAAGCCCCAAGAGTAAGTAGGGATGACCTGACGCCTATTTTGCTTTCCTCTGGCCAAGTAACGACGTCAGAGACTTGAGGTTTGCTTCGTCAGTCGATAATCCGAAGACCGAAAGAATAACGAGATGTTCCATTTGCATCTTACTCCACGTTGTCGTCGCCTCGATGCTAGAAAACTCTCGTCGCGAAGACAGTATATCCTCTCTTTTCGACGATCACCAGTCGAGAGAGTACGTATCGTTATCGATTATCTAGAATTCCCTTCGCGGACGTTTCTCGTCGGAAGCAGCTTCGAGGCGTATCGACAGAGGCTGGGACAAGCCTGACTTGCATCACGTTCTTTATCTTTTCTCCGATTTCCTTCCTCCATCGAGTGCTTAGTTACAGGAAGTGCTTCGTTCGCGGTTCGTTCACCCTGCAATCAGCGAACCTCTCCGTCACAGACACCACGTCCATTCCTTCGTCCTTGACAGAAAACTATCGAACGTCTGCTATCGCGCGAAAGAAATCGTCAACGTAAACATAAAGCAACGAAAAGAACTGGACGGTTAATTATACCCGGTAAAATGCAGCAAGAATGCGAAAAAAGGAGGATCGGCAAGTCCGCCGCGAAACACAAGAAGCCAGGCTGGAATTCTGAAGATCGTGCCAACTCTTCGTCTCCGGCAGTGTGTTCTCTCTGTGTCGAGGATATTTAAAATGTAGATGCACTCATTTAAATACCCCGTCCGCGATTTAATCGTTCCCGTTTCTTCGGCCCTTGATACCTCCTCCTCTCTCTCTCTCTGCCCGCCATTATCCCGACAAGGGTTCTTCTTTCTCCACGATCCGTAATCCGAAAGTTGTCAGCCGCACATCGCGCTTGGCCCTAATGGAATTTGAATGTCGTTAGCCGAAGTAACCGGCCGTGAGGAAGGGACCTTATCTCTATTACCGTCGTCGACGACGTCGACGGGGGGAATAGGGCTTTTGGCTTGTGGGCACAGAGAAAGAGAGAGTACGCGCAGGTATCGAGGACCTTCTCGTTCTATTCCACAGGAAAACTCACTCGACCAGGAAAAACACGTCTGCGGTTCGACGATCGTTTTCTCTACTTTCGGCTAGTTGAAACGTTTGATCGTCTACCCGGAGCATTTCCGTTTCATTTTCCCCCGCTGATCTCTTCTGTTCAGGACCCCGGTGATCTGTTGTAGTAGAGAAGAGAGAGGATGTCACGATAGGAGAGAATAGATGAGAAACGACAACAGTGTATCCGTGGCGACGAGGAACGTTTCTATTTGGAAGGAAGTGAACGTAGGTGCGGAACGAGAGTAGATTTTCGCGAGTTGGTGAAGAAGAATGGCGGAAGCAGGAGGAACGTCCGGTGACAAGGAGTTCAAGAAGCTGTTCCGTAGGAGATTTCCGCAATACGTCGCCGCTTCTGCAGGTTTCTCTACCATGCTTCTTGTGATTTCTTTTGTCGTGGTTAGAGGCTCTAGGCTGCGTCATTTAGTGGATGTAGATAGGCTAACCTATTCGTAGACCGTTTTGAAACATCGCTGTTTTAACACATTGTCGACTGGATAAATTCGATCAACTTAATTTCATTAAATTTCTGTGATAAAGAATTTCTTCGAGAGCTAAAATTGTGAGATATTAAAATTAAAAGCAGTCGACACTTAAATTGTTTCGACTGCAAATATACACTTGATAAATTTTTTAAAATTCATATGTCCATCTTGAAAGAGTCCAGAAAATCAGCAGATCGATCACAAAAATTTGAGAGAATTCTAGAGAATTCTGTGATTCTATTTTGAGATATTAAAATTAAGCAGTCCTCGCCTAGATTTCTCTGACGAAACTCGTATTCTCATTTTCGAAGAGCTAAAATTGTGAGATATTAAAGTTAAAAATAGTCGATATCTAAATTTTTCTAACCGACAATATGCACTCGATAAATTTTTGAAAAATATGAATTGATAATAAGTTTAACAGAATTCTAAAGGGTCTCCTCAATTTTGTCAGATATTAAAATTAAAAGTATTCCATACCGAAATCTTTCTCACCGACACTGCACACTTGACAAATTATTTCCAACTTTCATCTTCATCTTAAAAGAGCTAAGCAAACCACTATATCGATCCGAAATTGGAACGAAAATCGATTTCGTAGCATGCATGGGCGGCTTCTCACTGGGCTGCGGCCTCGGCTGGAGCGCGCCGTCAGTCGAGATCCTGAAGGACAAGTACAGCTACAACGAGTTCTCCACGAACGTAATCGCGGCGGTGTTCCCTCTCGGTGCTGCGCTAGGCATGCCGGTGATCCCCTTCCTGATCGATAAAATCGGTCGAAAATGGACCATGATGGCTCTGGTACCTGCGTTCCTCCTCGGTTGGATCTTCATCGCGGCAGGTGTGTCGGAGTTGACCCTTCTTATCATCGGAAGACTGATAACCGGTGCTTGCGGCGGAATGTTCTGCGTCGTCGCGCCTATGTACTCTGCTGAGATCTCGGAGAAACAGATCAGAGGTATACACACGAAGCTCGTTATCCGAACTGCTCAGAGTATTCTAGAGTTTCTCTGTCGCGTTAATTAGGTACTCTAGGTGTCTTCTTTCAATTGCTACTGGTCGTTGGCATTTTATACGCTTACTGCTGCGGGTACAGCAGAAACGTGATAGTGACGTCAGCTCTGTGCGGTGCAGCGCCCATAATTTTCGCCTGCATCATGATATTCATGCCGGAGAGTCCGTTGTACTACTTGTCCAAGGACAACGAGGAAGCTGCGAGGAAGTCGATGAGATTCTTTCGTGGACCGGATCACAGCGTCGACGCCGAGATTAGCGCGTTCAAAGTCAGTGTAACTTGTGGCACACTTAGGAGCAAGTTGAGAAGAGCAGACGTCATACGGTGACGATATCCATATTCAAGAAGAAGCCGGTGATGAGGACAATGGGAGTGGCGTTCGGGTTGATGTTCGCTCAACAGTTCAGCGGGATCAACGCGATTATCTTCTATTGCGAGACGATCTTCAGGCAGACCGGCGTGGACATGGACCCGTTGCTTCAGATGGTGATCGTCGCGATAGTCCAGGTGGTCGCGTGCGTCGCCTCCGCTGCGTTGATCGATCAGGTTGTCCTTGGAGTATTATAGATCGCTGTGTATCGAATGAACGCTGAGCTTCCTTCGTTCAGTCGTTTATTTCTCTCTGTTGTGTGCTATCTGTTCAATTTCATTTTTCTGAAGAACTCTATTTTTTTTTTTTAATAAGAGTTGCAGAGCGAGTTGAATCAGTCATTGCTGTTGTAACTCGATGACTATCAATCCTCGACTATTGTAACTATATATTCTCTATTTAATTCAATTTTTCTCTATTCTCAGATTTGATAAATTTTTCTGAAAAATTCTTACACAGCAAGTTTAATCCTAGTTAAATCCTAAAAAAAATGTCGAAGCGTTCATTCAGCCAACCTCTACCAAAACCGAACACTACTCGACACCAAGTCCGTCAATTAGAGGCTGTAAATTTTTTCAACAGCTCGGTAGGAAGCTCCTCATGTTAATATCCTGCGGCGTGATGTGCTGCTGCCTCGTCGCCCTGGGATTCTTCTTTATCCTGAAGAGCAACAATGCCCAAGCAGCAGATGATCTATTTTGGTTGCCTCTCTTCTCCGCCTGCCTCTATATGCTCGCCTTCTGCCTCGGAGCCGGTTAGTAACAGCAGCGGCGTGACTCTTCGAACCACCGATCATCATCTCGCTTTCATCCACGAGAATCTCTCGATTTTCCCATTCAAATCGCGCGCACGTCAATTCCACCTGAAAGATCCATCGTCCATCGTGCCTCTCGAACGCAACGCCGTGTACACATCGTTACGTTTACTTTTTCCGAGGAAACAGGTCCGATTCCCTGGGCATACATGGGCGAGATCTTCCCGACGAAGCTGAAGGGAATAGCGTCGTCCAGCGCGGCTTTCTTCAACTGGACGCTGGCGTTCATAGTGACGGTCTCGTTCTCGAGCGTTGTCAACGCGATCGGGATCGCCGCTGCGTTCTTCTTCTTCGCGGTAATTTGCGGCCTCAGCGTCGCCTTCGTGGTGTTCTTCATGGTCGAGACCAAGGGCAAGACCTTCGCGGAGATCCTGAGGGAGTTCGGCACCTACGACATCGACGAGCAATAGCGATACCGTGATAATAGAAATTAGAAGATTCGTCGCTGTTTTTCATAGTGACGATAAGGAAGGACTCTGTCAGTTTTTTTTTTAAGGATCTGCGAAACTCTGCTTCTGAGAGCGTAGAAGAAGCTTTGCAATACAATTTGCCTGTAGAACGAATATAATTTAATTAGGTATTTTTAAAATGGTTTGCTGTTTTGTCGAGAAACTGAGATTAACCCTTCGACGGTTTATCCTTGTGAGACTTGAGCGTGAAATATTTAACTGTTTAGCTCAAGAGAGACTCTTTGGAAGAGAGTTAACCCCTTGGTCTGTCATTTACTTTCCTGACTGTGCATCTAAGCGTCAGCTATTCGCTGTTTCAGTACTGCACTAAGTAGGAAAAGCTGATGTTTATGGGTTAATTAAATTTGCGATCCTCAGTTTTACAAGTTAAGTCGAAAATTGGAATTGAAATTAAGTTTTGTTACCGTTGTTACTGTTTTTTTATCAGATCTTGACCAAAATCTGTGGCGCGAGTTTGACTCGGTATTACACAGCAAGGGGTTAAAAAGGACGAGATATTGTCACAACTATGACGCAGGGTTCCGTATCTCTTCCTTTAAAAATAATCAACAATAGTCGCAATTTTATTACACCGTCAAAGGGTTAAAATACAGAAAACTCGCTCAAAAGTCAAAATCCATGAAAATTCACTGTGAAAATTCCTCTTACCAAATAAGAGGCCGCGTGAGCGTGAATTTTCGCTCCCCGGTTCGAAAATCGAAATTACGAGCGGGAATGCAAGTGTCGTGCGGCCACTTTCCACAGAAGCGCGAATTCCTCGCTGGCTCTGCAGGCTAAACTTGAACTCTCTCCCGTGGATTATGCGGCTCTCGCCTTATGCACGTATGCACCGACACGCGCAATGCGTGTGCACGCGTGCTGCCCCTGGAAGCAGCAACGGCAGCGTGCCACTCGAAGTCAACAATGATGCGGCTGTAGCTGCCGGGGCTCCGCCCATCTAAAATGAAAAATCGTCGAGATTAGCGTGTGACGAGAGTTATTTATACGGAACGGGGAGAGCGAAAAAGCCTGAACGCGTTCTTTCATGGACGTTGACCCGCGAGGTTAATCGGGGAACGTCGACCGATCGCCGATCAATGAGGCTGATTGATGGATGGGCCGTGTTCTATCGTCGCGTGGAAAATGCAACACCTTCGTTCTTCATGGAAATTGTAGAAAGTGTGCGGGATCCGTTGATCGATATCGATAGAACGGATCTCTGTGTTTTCGGATAGAACAGCTCCGCTTCTGTGTTAACGCCGTGCCAACTGAGCAAATTGACGTTCAACGGGTGTATGAGATTGGGTAAAAGTAGTTTTAGAGAAGTTGATGAGAAGGTGTGGAAATCAATTCGCTCTTTTTTTTTTGGAAAACCTTCAAAATTGACATACTTTTCGGAGAGAATTAGTCAGTTTCTCAATTAACCAGTCAGCTGTTGCGACCCCCTTGGAAAGTGTGCACCTAAAATGTGCCCTCAAAAGTAAGCGACGACGAGTATACTAGTCATAACTACTTCGTTTTTCTTTTTCTGTACTACTGCTCTGTGTGAATTTCAACGCCAGTGCATACTAAAGGGTTCTTAAACCCGTTGATTAACAGTCAAAAAAATTATAACACAAAGTATTGCCATTTCTTCACGACGAGTATAACTGGTTAATGGAGAACAGTAATTTAAAATAATGGAGGTCACTTGATTTTTTGTGAATCAGTATTTAAGTTTGCGAAAGAAGGTATTGAATTAATTTCTACACCTAATAAAATTTGTTGCAAATATACTCAATGTGTTACCTGTGCACAAGTAGAATACTGATTTTTTATTCAACCCTTTGCCTTACTATTTTTTTATAGCTACACACGTGTCTCGGCTGTAATACTTGTGGAAATAAAAGGAAGTTAAAAAGCCCTTTGGGTACCACCTTTCCCTATGAAGATTCATTAAAATTCAACGATACACGAGTCGAATACTGACTGTTTATTTAACCCTTTGCTTTGCAAGTTTTCTACGGCTACGCAGATTTGCCTTAGCTACCTAAGAGTACTCGATACCGTGTCGAATAAGAGAGAAACCTCGAACAGAAGTCTATTACACACAATACTTCATTTACCACATCTGAACCCCATCTGCATTGACAAGCGTGACTCGTGACGAGAAAAGAATGGCCCAAATCAATTACTTCTACCGAACACCTCCTAAGAATTCTGTAAATAAACTACTCAGTTTGTACTTTTTTATTATACTTATTAATTATTTCATATTTAAATATACTTTCTTAATTTCACCGCGACACGTGCTAATTCGCATCTCCAGGAACGCTATGCTGTAGAGAATTAAAACAAAGGAACGGGGATACGACCCGATGCACCATACGCTAGGTGTCAGCACACTTATATATTAGGAAATACAAATGTAATATCCAATAAATTGATCGATTTCAACGACACAAATTCACCCCGTAGAAAGGGTTAATCCTCGCCCGGATCTCGAAACATTCGAAAAGGCTGTCCGCCCTAACACGTGAACCCCGAATGGCCGATTCGTCTGGATGACTGCGAGTAGTTCCCCGGTGCATTTGTCATGCAGTTGCCGTCGCCCGGTAGGCGTTCGCTTTCATCGATTATGCATTCGAATTTATATTTATGAAGCGTAGTAGCCGCTCGTATTGGCGTTCTAATAATGGATGCTGCTATAAACCTCTCTCGTCAGGGTCGCTCGTCGCACGATCTTGCCTCTGGTCGTCGTCTTGGCTCTCCGTACGCACGCCATTATTGTCCATCGGAACGAAACGGTGCGTGTGTATCGAAGAATTTTCTTCCACTCGCGCCGCACTTCGTCGCGTGTTTCGAGGATCGCTTCTCTCTCGCGAGTCGCGTGTTTCCATGGGTGTTTACGCGAGAGTTGTTCTCGTTACGGTGGGAAGAAGGGGAGGATCGATGGAACGAGTAATGGAATCATTGTTCCCGATCAAGAGAGCCGCAGGAGGGAACCGGATCGTTCTATTAATCCTTATTCGTCGCGATCGCGCAGGGTGTCGGCTTTCCGGCGAATGGAAACCGCGAGCAGAGCCAGGCTTGGTTGGTTCCCTTCGAATAAATTTGCGAGAGAAACCGAAAGTATATCGGGAGGAGAAAGGCTCGTTGTAAGAAACAGCCCCGAAGGGAGAGGCCAGACGAGTTTTTCGCGAGCGCAGGCAAGAACCAGCGGCCGCACACGCGGTTGTTCTTTCCTCGTGGGAAGAAGCTGGCTTCTGTCGCGAGAAAAATCCGACGCGATCGTGGTGAACGAGCAATAGAGGCATGTTCGCCAGACCTTAGCTCGTGTGCTTCCTATGTTCTCGCAGTTTGTTTCGTCGAATTTTGTAACTGAGGAAAATATTCAAAGCAGCAAGTTTGCCTAATTGCTCGGAGGTAAGGAAGAAGGTGTATTCTATTTGTAGAGACTTGGTTGGGTCTGGTCGAACCGGTGCACTGGACGATTCGAGAGAGCCAGTTGGAAGTCTCTGTTGTATATTTCATGAACACGGTAGGTTTCCATCCTCGTTGTTGCACCAACAGAGGAGGACAAGCATGAACGCGCCGCTGACGTGGTACGAGACACGCACGATCCCATCGCCGGACCCTGTTTTCTATTATACGTGACGTTCGCGTCTGCGGAAAATTGCGTTTTTTCCCGGTGTACGGGGAGTAGTTTACGTGCCGCGATAGGGGCGATTACGCGCCCCTCTGTGCTTCGAGAGATTCTGCAAATTTTGCCTTCGCCTGCGATCGTTCCTTTCGAGGTTTTTTGGGAACGAGCGTTCTCTGAGGCTTTTTTGCACCGAAAATTCAAGGCCTGACGCCAAGACCTGGAAATGCCCAGCAATTGTTTTCTGAAGGACTCCAGAGTGCCTAGAATTGTGTTTCACAATCAACGTAACAGTCCTCGTTTTGGGAAGACCAAGTTTCTCGGCCGAAGGAAGGATTCTCGATAAAGAATTCCAGCTTCAGAATTCAAGGTCTGAAGATTCTCCTTTCGAAATTTTCGCAAGAAATTCATCAGGGGACCTAGAAATCCTCATCAATCATCTTCCGAAGATCCTCTCATTATCTGAAATTGCTACTGAGACACACCATACCTAACGCAGTGTTTTTATCAACCTAATAGCCCTCGTTTTGGGAAGACAAAGTGGAACGAAGTATTCTCGATAAAGATTTTAGCTTAAGAACTCAAGGTCCGAAGCTTTTATTTTCAAAATTTTGAAGAGAAATTCAGCGGAGGACCTAGAAATCATCAATCTTCCGAAGGTCCTCATTATCTCCCGAAGACTTCCCATTGCACATTTCGTCCTGCAAAACTTCTTCTTCCAAGACCTCCAGATAAACTTCACCGGCAAACCCAAGGATCCACGGCAATCATCATCCGCAGGTCCTCATTACCCAAAATTGCCACTCAGAAACCCACCATACTTAGCGCAAAGTGTTCGAAGCGAGACCCAACTTCCACTTTTCCCTCAGCAACGTCATTTTACCTGTCTTTTTACCACCTGACAGGGCCCAGTTCCCCAAGCATACGCGATCCAATGCTTCAAGGTTCCGCTCGCGGATCACTTGGCAGACGGCGCTCGTGATCGCGCACACGTGTCCCCTCTCTGCCTCTCTCCCTCACTCCTATTCCGCTCCGGCTCACTCCGTTGCACCATGCGACTCGATTGCACACTGCACCATTGCGGGGCCATTGGCCTCTCTCCGCCTCGGTATCGTCGACGCTCGCTCGCTGCCTGCCTCTCGGCGACAGGCCGAGCCGAAAAGCGGCGTGCCGCTCGCGCGCGCTTTTTTGCGCGTCTCGATCCCTCCTTCGACGCTTATCGCGAGGCCATGCTCCTCTCCGCGCCTCGCCTCGCCGCTCAGCGCCATGCTGCAGCGCGAAACGAGGACAGGTCACGGTGTCGCGAGTTGATTTTTTACAGTGGACGCGTAGTTTCGTC